TTTTTTCCTTTATTTTACATTTAATTTCGAAATTTCCAACAACAAATCATAAGGGATACTCGTAGTTGACTAATATTCATTACAACTATATTGATTATTATTATTTAGGGCCAATCGATACACACAAGCTATCACATATATCCCTTGCGGAATGTGAGACAATACGGGTTATTGTATGACGAGAGTATAATCCTGGAAAGAAAAAAACGGACGACACAGTTCTTCATTACATATCAACTTGTTACAATTTGCATAGATTAAAGGGTTATCTGCTAAACCCCACATTGAATATTACTACTTACCTGATAGCAGCACCCGGGGAAGGCTCAAAGTCATCAATATTATAGACAAATTCATTTCTTGGCGATGGTTTACCCATCGAGAATGTCTTCCACATGTCTATACCGTCGATTCCTCGTTCTGCCGTGTATAATACAAACCATATTTTAGCAACCTCAATCTAAAATATTGTGTCCAGCATGACAATTACTCTTGACAAATATTTTAACAACTCACCAGAATTAGCCCCAGCTATTGATAGTAACGTTTCATGCAAATCGACCATGTGCCATAACCTGTGACCGAAAGGTAACTTAGTTAAACAGAGGTGTGTCCAAAATTGTGAGTTTTATTTGGGTATTTCAAAATACTTCTTTCATCTCTACATAACAATTATGCAAAGTATCGATTTAATGGAAAAAATGCTACTATCAAGATCAAATAAACAAGTATTCTGTATTGCTCAGCACCACATTTTTGGAATAGCATTTCATCTTTTGTCTTTCTACTGACTATCTAACTAACTATCTAACTCGATAACGACAAAATTAGGTTACCTTACATATGATAACACAAACATTATACTTATACGAGACTGTTAGTGCTAAACTCAGTCTTTAGCAACATTTCGAATTTGTAATTGACCATCATTAACTTACTCATTACTTGTATATCCAGTCTGCGCTAACATACTCCCATGAATAAATGCTGGTACGCGAGTAGCGCCTTCAAACAACGTAGCAGCAATTCCCCGTAATGGCCAATTGGACCCCGACTGCGTTGCTAATGCTCCATTCTGTGTAAATAATTACAGGCAAAATAAAATTATCTATGAAAATAGTTACGCAATGCAATCAAGAAAAATGGCAGCGTCATATGAAATGCGTGTCCTTATGTGTATTATCTGAATTTTCCGATTTGAATGAAATGATTTTTACCAAAACATTTTGCCTCCAGAAAGTGAACACTTAACAACTTGTTGAATTACTAAATTCAATTTGCATATAGAGTATATTGACCACTTACGTCACTCATGAATATCAATAACGTATCGTCCCACATTCCTCTTGTCTTCAACGCATCCACCACAGTACCAACTGCATCATCCATGACAGACAACTTTCCTAAAATTGAGGGTTATGAAAATGGGTGGGTTATGAAAGTCCTACAACACTAGGATTGTGGACGCTCGTGAAGCAGTGAAACAAAGTTCATAGCATATACGTTCCAGTGGTTGTCCGCGAATATTTATAATGAAAAGATTATCTCAAGAATTCCGCAGAGTATGGACTTGTTAATCTATGTTCGATTCGCGTCTTCGTGCATACTATGCCATGATCCCATGGCCTCACCCTGACATTTATAGTTATGGAGAGATGCGGTATATCCCATGGAAGTAATTTAATTACACTATAATCAACAACTATCGAGGAAAACATGACGAACTTCTTTAAATGTATTTAAATAACGAATAAAATTGAATTCTGAATACAACAAGTCCGCTATCAGAAGTTTTAACAGCATATGGCCAGTGATATAATAATAAATAAATAAATACAAGTTTATATAGCGCCTAGTATCCATCGCAGTGATGCTCAATGACGCTTAGTTTCACAGATAGGCTTGCTGAAACAGGTACGATTTGAGTTTGATTTTGAAGATGTTAACATTTGGTGCAGAACAGATGTCATTTGGTAATTGATTCCATAAAGATGGCGAGGAGTGGGCGAATGACCGGTCACCATAATTCTTGAGATGAGTCCGAGGTACGGCAAGTGTATGTTCTTACTTGAGCGAAGGGTTCTCTGGTTTTGGTTTTGTGAATAAGCTCCGATATGTAGGGTGGTGTCAAACCATGCAGTGACTTGTACGTTAGTAGTAACATTTTCGAGTGTATCTTATAGTGAACTGGCAGCCAATGTAATTTACGAAGAACAGGAGTGATATGATCAAATTTTTTGGTACGTGTAATTAGACGGGCAGCACAGTTTTGAGCCCTCTGAAGCAGGTGTATCTGTTATTTAGGTAAGCCATAGAGTAAGGCATTGCTGTAATCCAGTTTAGCCGTTATAATAGAGTGAATGTGTTTAAGAAAGGTATGCTCAGATAGATGTTGGGGGCTGAGTATGTGTCTGATATGCATGTATATGCTCTGGCATGCACTGATGATGTGTTTACTGAACTGAAGTGAATCATTGAACATTGCAACTGAAATAACCTGTCGGTACACAAAATCACCTGAGGATAATTTAACATCTTCATTGTGAAATCATAATTACCTTACTTGTTTATTCAAATTTAAATATTTGAATAAACGAGTGAGTACAAACCATACCCAGGTGCCGGGTGATCTGCCGTAACTTCAGGCTATCAATCACCCCAAAATCAATCATCCAAAGTAGGAGGGGCAGCTAAATGTGTGTTTAACCAATAGCTAATCAATGTTGGGATGCAGCTGTGTGATGTTTAATGTCATCCCGAATGGCAGCACAATAACAACATCTCTACCACAACTAGACTAGAACATATCTTTCTGGGGAGCAAGTTTCTTAGGGCTAACAGCTCCTGTATGTTTATATGAAGCTTTGCTTTTATAGGATTCACACAACTAACTGTTTTTATTTAATGTGGGCTCCTAAGTAGTCCATAGTACTAGTAGCCAGTGTGGAATCAATAGATGGATCAGAAATTACCGCGTCAGGTTGGATACGTCATCACTTGGGGATGGCTAGAAATTGTGGGGTCTATGTCAGTCTCATCCCCGATGGTGACCCACATCGCTGGGCTATGATTACTAACACCAGTAATTGATGTACTCTGAATTCATTCCCACAAAACTCTATTTTGACCACTAGATCACTGATCTTAAAACACTGAACACTAGCCTGTTGGCTGTTGAAATCCATTCTTAAGAATCTGGACCAGAATTGAAAACAATTCATTGCATTTCCATAGAAGCCCGACAAATACAGAATATAGTCTGCAGTACGTTTGATAGTAGTACAACCCCAACATGTCATTGATACAGATCCACTTTATCAACTTTTGGAACAGCCACGTGACTGACATGCACAGAAATTTTGTGAAAACACATGCTGCAACATTGAGCCCGAATGGTCACACTTTGAGATGGTATCTTATTCCTCAAATCATGAAGCAAAATTATCAATGCCTTTGGGGTGAATCAGTACATTTAGGTACAATTTTTGAGATCAAATGATACAAGACAGTCATATTTTACTGACACCCGGGGATGCTAATTTTTCCAACACAGTGCTCACTCGAATCGTAAGCCCACTAGTCATGCTAAACACTAGAATCTGGTAAGGTAAGTAT